AATGTGCAGGTAAGTGCCAAGTGGTTTATCTGAGATACATATCGTCTTAGTCTATTTTTTAGTTACTTTAATGAAATACCTGAAGCTGGTTTCTTATAAAGAAAAAAGGTTTATTTAGCTCACGTTTTGAAGGCTCAGGGCATGATGTTGACAGTAACTCTGCTCTGGTGAGGACTTCATGGGGGAGTGGCCCCAGAATGGCCGGGGAGGGGCATGTTCTGAAGTGATGGAAGGGAGAGATAACACCAAAAATCAGGAAGCCAAAGAGAGGGGGAGAGCTGGGCTTGCTCTTTTCCTAACAACCCTCTCTGGAGAACTAACTCAGGGTCCCGGGAGAACCCTTCAATCCCTTGGGAGGACACTCCCTTCTGCTCACTGACTTAAGGACCTTTCATAGGCCCCACCTCTTAGCATCACCTCACTGAAGACCAACCTCCCAGCACATCAACCCTTGGGGAACAAACTCAAAACTTATTGAAAACTGTTAGAAATTCACAAGAGTAAGAAGAAAGTGCCCTCCCATTGTGAAACGGGGTTCAGGATTACAGACAAATGGATGAGTCACACAAAATCGGCCAGTCAACAAACAAGGGATGAATAGCTATAAGTTTGAAAGATGAAGGCCAAATCTCCAAGAGCTTACCATACTGAGGAGTCATCAGACACAAGGCAAGTGTCACACTTAAAAAGATGAGCTCTGGCTGCCTCAAGTCCAGGCTCTGCCACTTGTTTGCTGTGTCACCTTGGACAAGATAGTGACCTCTTCATGTCTTCTTTGTTTCATCTATAAAGTGGAGGAAATAATGATACTAACCATACTTACCCGGTAGGATTGTGTGAGGATTAAAATGATGAATGACTAATACCTATTAAGCACTCAATAAGCACTAAGTGTTTTGTCACGTTCCTTGCAACAAAAAACACTCAGGGTCACTCCAGGGGAACTGGGCTGCACGAAATAACCACACAAGAGACAGAGATACCTTTTTCTTTGGGGTCCTGTGCCGGCTCTTCTGACCTTAAGGGTCCACAGAAAGAGAGAGAGCGGTGCTGACCCCTTTTATTGAGGAGAAGCCATTCAAATGAGGCAGGGGGTCAGGTTTCAGGGGGTTGAGTCTAGCTATGTGATGTCTGCTGTCAGCAGGGTGACTGACATCTAGGAAGGCCACACCCAAAGGCAGAGCAAGAGAAAGGGACACACAAAGGGCTTTTCTATGGAACATTCTATCCCAAACAGGGCAAAGGGGTAGAATCACAAAGGAACAGGTGAGTGTAGCTCAATCCATGGGGTAACACGCCTATGTCTAAAGATGCGTCCCTCACCCTCCAGGATGGGGCAATGTCCAGGTCACTACAAGATGTAGTGATGGTCAAAGCCTCTCTGCTCTGGGAAGGATAAAGCGAATCATTCAGACTGGCTCCAACTCTGCAAGCCCTGCAGGGACCCCTAGGGAGGGAGAGTCCCTGTTACCGCCTTTTAGGAAAGCAGAAGAAAACTAGTCATGTCCTTCTCTGGTGACAGAAGTAGGGAAGTCAGCATGGTGACCTTGACAAACAGGTGGCAATATGCGCTTTTCTCTTTCTCAGGTACATCCGATGGTTCCATTGATGCCTGTAAAGGAGACTCTGGAGGCCCCTTAGTCTGTATGGATGTCAATAATGTGACTTATGTTTGGGGCATTGTGAGTTGGGGTGAAAACTGTGGAAAACCAGAGTTCCCAGGTGTTTACACCAAAGTAGCTAATTATTTTGACTGGATTAGCTATCACGTAGGAAGATCTTTCATTTCTCAGTACAATATCTGAAATTGTGATCTCCTGCTCTTTTGGTGATCTTTCTGTCCTTATTCTCTCTAGAGTTTTTTTTTAATTGAAATGAAACTATATAATTATTAGTACTCTAGGGGAAAATGAAGCAAATGTTCTTGGATATTTTAAAAGGTCTTTTTAAAGTTTATGCCATCTTGGAATTTTACTGTATAATTCTCAAATAAATATTTTGGTCAAGCATACTAGATTGGTTTGTTTGTTCTTTGGTTTGGGGGAATGAACACAGGAATTTGTGTGTGTTCAGCACCACGGAGCTACACACTCAGGAAGTTTTATTTATCAGCAAATATAATTAAATTATCCTTTATGCAGAAGTGATACACCGACAGTAAGAAGTTTAGGTAGTTGAATGACACTGAAGTCACTCACATAAGCCTATTTCCACTACCCGCAGAGTTAGACCCCAGGCAATTTATTACCTTTTTTATTTTTGGATCTCATTTTCCATCTATAAACATGGAATTGTATGAAAATGAAACTACATACTTATGAACAGTGTTTGGCATGGCACTTATTACGTGTTATCACAGGGTGATAACTGGCCTCATAGATCTTGACCCATTTCCCTGCTTCTTTTTTTTGTTTGTTTTATTGTTTTGATTTTGCCATGCTGGGTGTCAAACCGAGGGCCTTGCATATGCTAGGCAAGCACTCTGCCACTGCAGTACGGAACCCCCAGCCCTTTTCTGTTTAAGTATTAAAATTTCTCAAAAAATAATTGTCTTTTCTCCCTCATTTTGCAAGCTCCCCTTGATCCTTTCTCTAGATCTTTCCACAGATACTACAATACAACCCTTGATCTCCATGGTGTCAGTCTGTTACCGTTCCCTGATCTGACTAGAGGACCTAGGAGAATTTCTACCTGTCCCTAGTCTTGCTTATCCTCGAGGACAGGAGTTTCTCTTCAGCAGGGCTGGCTGAAAATAGCTGGATCTCAAATGGCTGCTAGACAACCTCTAATTTCATCTGTATGTTAAATGACACACCCCAGCACCAGGACGGTTGATAGTTGCCATGACAACAACCAGAAAGAACCATAAATGGAGGAAAAAGGATGTGGCACCCAAATTCCTGGAAATTCTCCACCTATTCCTAGAAAATATATGACTATTCCTCCTCCTCTTCATTTCTTTTATCCCATTTCTATACCCTCCCCAACCCAAGGTGGGGTTGAGTTTCAAGTTTATCTCCTCCTACTTTTCTTAGCTAAGAATTAAGTACCCTGCGTGGCTCAGTCAGTGCTCCATCTTGGTATTGGTTCCACAATTCAGAGAGGGAAAAAGGACTGAGCCTTTGGGACCTGTTAGAGTCTGTAAACAAGTCTGGATGGCGCCTGGCATTTTGCCAGAGGGAGTGGTTTGTGAAGTAACGGCAGCGAGCCAAGAAATTAGTAACAAAACTTCAGAGTCTCTTAACTGTCCTCATCTCGGCAGCATCAGGCTCTCACCCTGGCTGCTGTTCTCAACCTCCTTCCCAGTCTCTTCCATATTCTCTCATTTTGCCCTTTCCCTGGTGTTTTCTAACCTAAACTCCATTTTAAATCCCAACCTTAGAACTTTACACAGGGATGGAGTTGGGAGCAGAGATGCTCTTGAAATGGTTCAAGAAGCTGTGCATCCCGCCCTCCAGCTGGGTACACAACTTCTTCACAAAATAATTGATGGCATCTGTTTATCCACCAGGATCATCACAGTGTCTGGGATTCCAAAGAATGGATGCATGTTTTAGAAGATGTGACCAAATGTTTTAAAGCCACAGTTGGTAAAAAAAAAAAAAAAAAAAAAAAAATTCTGATGAAAAGGCACTTCAACAGTGGAATCAAGTTGAGTTCATTTCCTCAAGAAGCTCTCATGAAATGCTTGAAAAATAGGAAAGATGAAATCAAGCAGGCTCTGGTAGGAGAAATAGCTGATATTTTCTCTGCACAGCTGTAGGATTTTTTTTTTGAGATAATATGTATTTTTATTTGATCTAATTAGTTATAAATGACAGCAGAATGCATTTCAACTCATTGTACACAAATGGAGCACAACTTCTCATTCCTCTGGCTGTACACAATGCAGAGCCACACCATTCATGCAATCACACATGTACATAGGGTAACAATGTCCATCTCATTATACTATCCTTCCTACCCGCACACCCCTCCCCTTCCCTCAGTCTCTCCTGTCCAACCCAAATTTCCTCCATTCTTCGTTAGCACCACCCCTCACTGTGGATCAGCATCCACATATCAGAGAAAACATTTGGCCTTTGCTTTTTTTTGTTTGTTTGTTTGTTTTTGTTTTTTTTCAGTGGTGGGGTTTGGCTTATTTCACTTAGTATGATATTCTCCAGCTCCATTCATTTACCTGCAAATGTCATAATTTCATTCTTCAAGGCTGAGTAATATCCCATTGTGTATATATACCATATTTTCTTTATCCATTCATCTGTTGAAGGGTATCTAGGTTGGTTCTATAGTTTAGCTATTGTGAATTAAGCTGCTATAAACATGGATGTGGCCGTGTCACTGTAGTATGCTGATTTTTTTCTTTTTTTAATTAGTTATACACAATAGTAGAATGCATTTTGACATATTGCACACAAATGGAGCACACCTTCTCATTCCTCTGGTTCTACGTGGTGCAGGATCACTACAGTAGTGTAATCATACATGTATATGGGTAATAATGTCTGTCTCATTCTACTGTCCTTCCCATCCCCACCGCCCCACTCTTCCCCTCACTCCCCTGTACACAAACCAAATTTCCTTCATTCTACCCTTGAATTGAGCTGCTATAAACATTGGTATGGCTATGTCACTATAGCATGCTGATTTTAAGTCCTTTGGGTACAAACCAAGGAGTGGGATAGCTGGTTCAAATGGTGGTTCCATTCTAAGCTTTCTGAGGTATCTTCATACCGCTTTCCATAGTGGTTGTACCAATTTGCAGTCCCACCAGCCATGTATGGATGTACCTTTTCCCCCACATCCTCGCCAACACTTATCATTGCTTGTATTCTTGATAGTTGCCATTCTGACTGAAGTGAGATGAAAGAGTAGTTTTGATTTGCATTTTTCTAATTGCTAGAGATGATGAACATTTTTTCATATGTTTGTTGACTGATTGTATTTCTTCTTCTGTGAAGTGTTTGTTCAGTTCCTTAGCTTATTTATTGATTGGGTTATTTGTTTTTGTGTTCTTTATATATCCTGGAGATTAGTGCTCTGAGGTGCATGTGATAGATTTTTTTCCCATTCTATAGGCTCTCTCATCACATTATTGATTGTTTCCTTTGCTGAAAAAAAGCTTTTTAGTTTGAATCCATCCCATTTGTTGATTCTTGATTTTATCACCTGCGCTTTAGGAGTCTTATTAAGGAAGTCAGTTCCTAAGCCCACACGATGAAGATTTGGGCCTACTTTTTCTTTTATCAGGCACAGGGTCTCTGTTCAGCTATAGGATTTTTTTTTTTTTCCAGCTATAGGATTTTGATTGGCAGTGAAACCTTGCACTTTCTAGTGACAAGAGTGCTACTTTATAAATGCTGTCAGCTCAGGCGGGGGAGGCAGCGATCAAAGGAGGCAGATTTAAAAGGGCCGATTGACAGGCTTTATTGAGATATCACTCCCTGGTGGAACTCGATCAGACCCACAGAGGGGACAGGGGAAGGGTCTGAGGAGAAACCGCGTGGAAGCTCGACTGGACTGGACTTTTATGGGGCTTACAGCAGGAAGGGAAGGGCTTGGGACAGGAAAAAGTGTTCTTAGAGTCCCTTGTCCCCTTGGAGTTGGTCAGGGGAGTTGGCTGAACTCCAGGATTGGCCAGGGGGTCCTGCTGATTGACAGGCTTTAGTCAGGAGATCTGGCTGATTGACAGGCATTTCCACCGGCATCTGATTGATGTTCTTTTCCGGCGCGGGCTGCTTTGTTCTAAGTTGCCACTAAGTCGCCACAAAGTCGCTGCTACCGACCTAACAAAGCCACTTTTAAAACTTCATCTAGATGAAAAAGAAAATTGTGATGTAAAATCATATTCTGTTGAAATGCATGAAGAAGAACTGCAGAATCTAATGAATTCCTTGGAAGCAGCTAATAAGGTGGTCCTGCAGTTGAAATAACAGCAAATGATGAATACCAATGCTATCAGATTCCACTGCAAAACTGGTATGGCAGAGTGAATACTGTGTGTTCTGAAACCCTCTCTCTCTCTCTCTCTTAAAAAAAAAAAAATAGCCATCTAGTTACATTTGGGAAACAAAATTTAAATGAAATTAAAAAAAAAAAGAGTTGTTGTTTGATTTTCCTGCGGTATGGAATGATTTGCTGTGTGATGTTCTGATGTATAGAGTAGCCCCCCAAACCTATAAAATCTCACTGAACAAAGGACCAGGACTCACTCCCTGGGACCACTGCATTGGGAATGGTTGTGAGTCCAGGCTCCAGCTTGCAATAAAGACTCTTGTGTGATTGCATCGGATTCGGCTCCTGGAGGTCTACTGGGGTCCCATGAATCTGGCATAACACAGCAGTGTTGAGATACCAAACATAAAAAATATATCAACCTCCCTGAGGAACAGGAAATCACAATGATTGATAGGAAACTCATAAAAAAAGACGAAAAAGCTATAGTAGCTATTTATATTTTCATAATGATTATTTTGTTTCATTTATTAAGTACTTGAGAAATCTTTATAGATACATTTTTAAAAGCTTAAAAATAGATTCTAAAGTAATGCAAACACAGGAAACACAAACATGCTTGAATATTGCTTAAAAATTTATGTGAACAGGAAGAACATCTACTATGGATATATGATTAATTTGTGATATTTTGTGATATTTAAAAATGACTTTTTTTACAGAATGTGTAAACTGCATATGTAACTCTGGGGCTCCTCAGATAGCTCAATGTGGTCTCTCCACATGGAGTCCCAAAATGAAGTCCAACTCAGGGATGCCAGACTTCTCACACAGCAGTTGGTGAATGTCCCAAGAGAAAGTGCAGAACATGTATAGTTTTTTTCTAACCTATCCTTGGAAGTTTATTATTATCACTCTACCTAGGTTCAAGATCCCTAGGTTCAAGAGAAGGGGGCATAATCCATCTCTTTCTCTTTTTTTCTTTAACACATTTTTAGTTGTAGATGGACACAATACCTTTATTCTATTTATTTATTTATTTATTTATATGTGGTGCTGAGGATCAAACCCAGTGCCTCACACATGATAGGCAAGTGTTCCACCACAGAGCCACAACCCCAACCCCCAAAATCCATCTCTTGATGGGAAGGGTGTCAAAGTGTTAAGGTTTAGATATTAGGGGTCCCCCAAAATTTCATGTGTGAGATAATGCAAGAAAGTTTAGAGGTGAAATGATGGGGTTGTGAGAGCCTTAACCTATCAGTACATTAATCCACTGATAGGGATTAACTAGGTGATAGCGCTAGGCAGTAGGGTGTGGCTGGAGGAGATGAGTTACTGGGGATGTGTCTCTGGGGTTTATATTTTGTCTCTGATGAGCCTAGCTTAGTCTCTCTCTCTCTCTCTGTTTCCTGATGGCCATGTCCTGACCTGCTTTCCTCCACCTCTTTCTTCTACCATGATTTCCTGCCTCATTTTGGGCCCACCTGTGGAGCCAGCTGTCTATGGACTGAGACCTCTGAAACCCTGAGCCCCAAATAAGCTTTTCCTCCTCAAAAACTGTTCTTGTCAAGTCTTTTGGTCATGACAGCAAAAGAGCTGACTGAAGCACAAAGAATTTGAGAATATGTTTTAAAACCATCAAGTCCTGACCCAACAGTTCTGGCACCTTAGAAGATATCTGTATATGAGACCATTAAAAAGAACTGAAGTCTGTAGACTGGGAAAGCATTGGTATCTTGGCCCCTCAACAGACCAGGTGAGTCTGTACAGGGATAGGAGAGGTGTCAAAGTGTTAAGGTTAAGCCCCTAGTACTGGGGGCTCCAAAGGAGAGTTAACTAAGGTGAGGTCCTAAAGGACAGCTCTCCAAAGTGGCTCCATGTGGCAGATATCAGGTATAGCAGTACTGGAATGACCTGACTTCAGGGTTTTCCCAGGTTAGAGATCTGACTCAGAACTCCTCTAATCACAGACTATAAAAGCCAGTCTAATTGGTTTAGTAAATAATAATAATATAAAGAATAATTTGGGGCTGGGGATATAGCTCAATTGGTAAAGTGCTTGCCTCACATGCACAAGACCCTGGGTTCAATCCCCACCATCAGGAGAATGAATGAATAAATAAATAAATAATTTTATTCACAAAATCTCCTAGACAGCCACAGAATTGGAGTCTATGCATCTAGGAATAATGTTCAAAGACCACAGGAGGTTGCTCCATCAGCATCTCTACTGCTGCTGAAAGGCCCACTATCCTTGCATACATTGTACTGCAGAGGCTGAGCACTGAAGGATGTTGCTATACCTTTGGCCACTGCTGCATATCTGAGTTAACTTGGACTTCACTAAAGGTATTCAGAGAGCAGAGCTCATTGGATGTGGCATTCTACCATCACATTATGGTTGACCCTGGTCTTTGAGCTCACTATCTTAGGAGGCAGACAAGAAAATAAATTCTGAAGCTGCACTTTGCCAGGAATGATAGCAAGAAAAACTCAAGAGAAATCTGCCTGAAGTGTCAGAGAGGGCCTCTGAGCTTAATCTGAATCGTGGAAGAATTTCCAGGCAGATGCAAATGCAAAGGCTTTGCAGTTTAAAGAGTCAATCACACACAGGAGCAGAGAGCAGGTCAGTGTGTCTAGAGCCAAGGGTGCTGGGGAAGAGCTGAAAAGGAGAAAAGAACATATCAAGGAGGGCAAATGCCAAAGAGTTGGGACTACTGAAGGAAACTGGAAAGTTCGAGTTGAAGGCAGTGAGGAAGATGTGTGGGAGACAGGGTTAGAATGAATTTGGGCTAATCTCTAGGTGGGGAAAGTCAGAAGACAACTGGGGCATTCTAATGAAAACTGATAAAGGTAGAAACTAAAGTAGGGATAGAGGATGACCCTGATCCTAGATGTTAAGGAGTGAAAAGACCACATCTAGGGACAAAGTAGATAGCAGGGTAGTAGGAGAGGGCTTTGAGTTTAGGGTAGTCACTAGATGTCCTCTTAGAGGATGAGGTGATTGGTATTGCCATTGATTGTAGAAATAAAGAGAACAGGGGAAGAGAAGAAGGTACATTTTAAATTTGTGGTGTGTCGCAAGGGGACAAAATTGCAACCTATGCAGTCGAAGGGAGAAATAAAGAATGTCCACGTGCTTTTGCCCCTTTCAATGCTTTATTCACTCAAATTACTCAATACAATTTCACTCTATAGGTTCTTAATCAAGAAAACGACAATCCTTGATGCTAGGCACTGGAACAGATATAATCAATTCACAGCAAGCAATTCTAGATTAATTAATTCACAGCAAACAATTCTAGATTAATTCTAAGCATTGCAAAACACACTTAATCATAACAGGCTAATGACAGACATTCCCTCTGCAGGCTAAGTTCAAAAGTCTTAAGCCTTAGGCTTTATGTCCAGCAGATGCACACTCACTCAGACCTCGGTGACCAGTGACATCATTTACCCTGGGGTCAGAAACATCTGTCTGGTGGTCTCCACCCTGATCTTCTCACCTGATAAGCGAGGACAGCCCGCCAGGGGCTTCACTCTGTTTATCAGGGTGAGGGGAAGTAACTTGTTTGAGGCCAACTGGAGGGGTCTATGGGTGTGCCTGGTGAGACTGCAGGTTTCAAACTGGAGTTTTTAAAAATGGAGTTGCTTAGGCTCAGCCTTAGGTCATCCTCACAGGTGCCTCTGGGAGCTCAGTGAGAAGATGTAGTTTTCAGTAGAAGAGGAAAAGTATGTAGTTCCATTAATCAGAGAAACTGGTGTTTGAGAATTTAATCCCTGAAGAGAATTGAGACACAGAAGACTAAATCTGTGTCCTCACAGCAGAAGCTGCTCCCCTTCTTTCTTAATGTGTTGAAAGGTACTGTCAAAAAAAAAAAAAAAAGATTTTTTTGCATATTGGGAGGCCTTGGTTAATAAGTGGATATCACATGATTTCTCTTCACCTGGACTTGTTCACTGTTAAAAAAATAAAAAGGAGGATAATACCTCCCTGGGCACATTCCTTCCCTTCATCCAGTGTGATGTGAGCGGATCACATATCAAAGAACCTGGCTTGGGAGCTGAGTGTGGACAAAAGTCTGATCTTCGCTAACTCTGAATTTGGGCTAATCTCTAGGTGGGGAAGGACCCCTTTCTTTAACTGGTCAAAGACTGTGTCCTATAAAGCGGGGTTCTAAATATGAGAGATCATGTATGTGAAATGCCCAAATGGCACAGAAGAAGCATTCAACAAAGGTATGTGATTCATATGAACTCTGCACATTGATTACAAGCTTGGAAAACTTGTAGCATAATGCCAAACTAGAAAGAACACACCTCATCTCAACAATTGCAACATTGCCCTGGATCCTACTATACAGTTCTTGGCAACTGCTGAGATAATAAGAGAATCAGATATTTATAGCTCTGGTAAAAAGTACTGCAATTGTTATTTATGGATCCTGCACAGTGCCTGGGAAAAATACAGAGAAATGTCACTAGAACTATCAAGTCACAAAATACTTTGCCTAGGAAAACCATGGTTTCTTTAAGTTTCATTTTGCTTTACTTAAGCCTACTGAATCTGCCTTACCTGCCCAAAAGGCAAACAAAACAAAACAGAACAAAAAAGCTTGTGGTTTTTACCGTCAAACCATTTTCTTCTTCCAGAAAATCCAAACCAGCATCTAGCTCATCCTGGTTACATTGTTACCCCTGAGGACTTGGATTGACATCTCTAACTAAATTCAGCTCCTCCAATCGCGGGCACAGTGGTGTGGAGGTCGGGGTGAGGACCTGGGAAGACAAAGCCAGGCTTTCCCAGGTGACAACCGCACTCCCCGATACTGAGATGGACCCTGGCATCACTCTCTGCAAGAGGGCACGGAATCTCATTTCTCTCAAGTTGTCCAGAACCCCCCAATTTTTTCTTTGGGGGGGGCAGAGCTGAACCCCGACAACCCAGGCAAGTCTAGGGGGGTCATTCCCCATAGTAACCACACGGTGTAGACGGATGGCTTTTAAAAAGTAGTAGTGTCTTTTGCTTCCCAGACCAGGGTAATTTGACTACTTTCCGGGGAAAGGCCCAGGCTCAGGTATTTTAAAGCCCGCTCAGATGGTTCTCACACCAGCCCAGTCCGAAGGTTTCGGGAGCGCGCCGGCGCTACCACGTGGGCGCTGGAGCCGCCGCCGCGCGCGCTCGCGCCTCTGACGCGCCACGCTCTGGCGCAGGCGCGCACGTGAGCCTTGGGCTCAGCGCTGGGAACTCCGGTAGCGGGTTTCCGCGACCGCGCCGCCTCCTCGCGGCAGCTGTGCGAAGGCGGCAGGAGCCAGCCAGCCAGTCGGCCCCGAAGGAGGCGTGGACATGACGCCGGGAGCCGACGAGCCCGGAGCCCGCGCTGTCGCCTAGGGCGCCCCGGGGGCTCCGCGGACGGGTGGGGCTGGGGCTGGACGCGGCCCAGCACTGTGCGGATGGCCGTGCTTCCGCGGACCGCACTTGTCTTCCTGCTCCTGCTGGCCGCCCCTGTCAGGTGCCAGGAGCAGGATCAGACCACCGACTGGAGGGCCACCCTGAAGACCATCCGGAACGGCATTCACAAGATAGACACGTACCTGAACGCCGCCTTGGACCTCCTGGGAGGCGAGGACGGGCTCTGCCAATACAAGTGCAGCGACGGTGAGAGGGTACCCAGGCCCCGCGAGCCGCGTGCTTCTAGGGGAATTGGGGTGAGCTGGGTCGTGGAAGTGCGAGAGTGACAGATGCAGGGCAGACCTTGACGGAGTCCTTTGGCTGTGGAAAAGATTACCCACTGCTAGAATCTTGCTATTCTTGTGATTGAGTAACCTGGATACAAGTCCGCCCCACTGTTGTTAGGATAGGAAAGAGGTCGCGGGAGTGCGTCCTGTTCCTGTGTACTCTTCTTTCATTGCCACTTGCCGCCCCCCCCCCCCCCCGCAATTGCACAGAATTGCCTAAGAACTTATTGACATATGAATCCTGGGAACTGAGTGGAACAGACTGATTTTAGCTCTGTATTTTGGCGCTGATACATGAGTCAGCTGAACATGCAGAGCTAACCGAGAATTTTTAAATCATGCCCTATTCACTTTTTCGAGAGTTAGTATTAAGTGGTTTTTATTTTTTTTCTGCAAAGCTGCAGAAAATAAATTACGACCTTTGAACAGATTTCTGGTGTATTCAGTTGTTGAGAGAGAGTTCGGGTAACTTCTAGAAAATAGTCTAGTAAAACTTTGACAGCTCTCTTTGGATATCACTGATCCCTCCTAACTGTTGGTCAATATTAGTATAATTTTTCATTAATTTCATTTAAAAAAGACTTTAATTCTGTTTGAAACTGAGGACTTGTGGCAGTGTAGGGAATAATAAACTCAGAGGTTTCTGGTTTTTATTTTAATCACTTGACTGCTTAGATATTTTAGTAGTTCACGTAAGCACTGGGACTTCTGTTTGGAGATTCAGAATGTTACGATAGCACAAGATATGGGTCTAGTTAATGCCGGTATCTGAAAAACAATAGAAAACTTCATCACTTTAATGGTAAAACTAGGTTGTAGGTATAGGTGAACTTAAAACCTATATCATGTAAAACTGTGATGCCACCTGCTGCCTGTAATTCTCCAAATAATTTCTAGCTTTATGTTAACTAAGATGAAGAATGAGCTACATCTTGTATGTGTTAAAGTGCTGAACAGGTACTGAGACATGGTTTTTTTTAGTTGTAGATGGACACAATACCTTTATTTATTTATTTATTTTCATGTGATGCTGAAGATTGAACCCCGCACCTCATACTTGTGAGGCGAGCTCTCTCTGCCACTGAGCCACAATCCCAGCCCCTGAGACATGTTTTATTTATTGCTTGTAAAATTTATGCCTAAATGCATCTGGAAGAGTGTTTTTGTTCTTGTAGAGCTTATTGGAACAAGTGAGTGAGTAATTTAAAGATTAAATGATAGCCATTCCTGAGGCAAAAGTTACGATTTTACTTAGTCATTTTTACTCAGTACACAAATTATTAGGGTCCCGACTATGTCAGGTGTCATTCTTCTAATTGTTGTGGTAGGGAGAGACCATCAGAAAACTGATAAGTGAAATGAGCCAGATATGGCCTGTATTATGCCAGTGTTTTGAGAACAGTAAGTCTGCAAAGACAGTAATGGAGAGTTGGGTGCAGTTTGATTTTAAACAGGATGTTCAGGAAAGCCCCCACAGAGAAGAGAATATTTTAGAAGAAATATGAAAGTGGACATGGTGAATTGAGACAATCTGAAGAAAGAGCATTCCAGGCAGATGGAACAGCACAGAAAGACCAGTCACAGATGACTTTGAAGGTTTTGGCCCCAGCCAAAGGGAGTGTGCAGTTGCCATTTACAGAGATAGGAAAGGCTTAGAAAGAGTAGTCTTCGTAAACTTTGTTAAGAGTAGAGTAGTAGAGTTTAGTTACATTTAAAATATCTCTGAAGTTGAATGGATACTATTTCTATTAAAAGATTGTCTTCATCTTTCCTTTTACCTTTACTGTCTTCATCTTCCATCAGCCTCACAAAATTTGCATTTGGAGTTTAGAGTAAGGTTCTTTTGTCTCTTAGTAAGTAATGTCTTTTCAGTGGACATGTGATTCAGAGCCAGCATACTGACAGTTCCAACTCAATGAAAACTATTCTTTTAATTGCCATTACTTGAGAAATCTTCCTGGAACAATGAGTCAATTTTTCATAGATTTGGCACGAGACCAAATCAGATCCAAACAGAAAGACAAATCCCAAAGGTAGGGGAGCATAGGGAATAAGGGATGTTTTTCAGTTGCAATAAAGAGATCAAGGAAGCTTTAAGGAAAAAAAGCAGGATGAGGGAGATAATGGTAGGGGGAGGGCGGTCAGATTAAAGTACACAGACTTGGTGCATTGGGTCCTGCTTGTTTTACTTATGGGACTGGCATTATGGAGACTTGCTCCTTTACTTTTGGCCACCCACCTTTGGGTGGGAAAAAGGCTTTATTGAGACTAAAGTTATTTAGGGGAACAAATTGGTAGTTACCACCCTTTCTTAATTTTTTTCTCCTTGATACCTGAGAAGATTTGAGGAAGAAAAGTTTATAGTTTCCTTTAGAAAATAGAAAAATTGTTTTCTAAAAACATTTTAAAATTATGAATGTCATTTTTTTTCATTAAGTGAAACACAAACATACACACATATCTTTTGCAGTATGAAGGATTGAAGCCAGGAGTCTTGAATCACTGGGTTTCTACCACTGAGCTACATCCCCAGACCTTTTTTTTTTTGCTTTGTTTTGTTTTGTTGTTGTTTATTTTTGAGACAGGGCCTCAGTAGGTTGCCCAGCTGGCCTTGAATTTGGATCCTTCTGCCTCAGCCTCCCCAGGTGCTAGGATTATAGACGTGTATATTTTTTGTTTGTTTCATTTTACCCTCCCCTCAGGAATTATTTTAATTTTTTACATATATAATTTTAATAGTGCATTATAATTATATGTAATAGTGGAATTCATTATGCCATATTTGTATATTCACATAATTCGATCAGTCTTATTCCCTAGTACCTTCCCTTTCCCTTTCCACCTCCCTCCCGTATCGGCTTGCTCTACTTTTTTTTTTTTTTTGGTCTTAATTTTTTTTATTAGAGCATTATAATTATACATAGTATTTGGGTTCATTTTGACAAAATTACATATACAAGGTGTTTGATTTCAAACCACATCCCCATTCTTCCCTCGGGCTTTTGTCTTGCTCTACTCTCAGATGTCTATATTTTAAGAGGATCCCTCTGGCTGTTTTACTGACAACTAAAAGGGTCAAGCAGGGTGGGGACCCACAATAGAAACTGGTTGATGCTTGCAGGGAGTCTAGATAAAAGGTAGTGGTGGTTTTGTCTTTGTTGGTAGCAACAGAGGCATGAGCAGTGGTTGGATTTGGGATGTATTTTGAAGGTAGATTTTGCTGACAGCTTGGAGGTGGGGTGTGAGTAAGGTTTTTTTTTTTTGTTTTTTTTTAAATGATACCACAATTTTTGGCCTGATCAACTAGTACAGAGTTGCCATTAGCTGAAATAAAAAGAATAGTTTGGGGCATTACGAAGGATAATGGGGTATTTGTGGGCTTTTGAGAATGATTGAATAGAAAGTAGAAACACTTGAGAGAATTATTGCAGACTAATCTTGGGTAGGTGAGAAGTATGGGTTTTAGTACATAGAGGGACTGGCCAAGAACAGATAGCAGTTAATAGGATGAAGGTCGAAGATGTGGGTTCTGATGTCAAAGATGTGGGTTTTGATGTCAAGTGGGTAGGTGTTCAAGGTCATCCACTGAAATGATGGGAACAGAGATGTTGGAATTTGAGAAAAATAGAGAAGTGAATGGACTAGAAAAACAAAGAGGCATACTGACCCTATGGAGATTAATGATGCTGGGTTTAGTTTCCAATGTTTGTGAATGCAGGTTGGGATTCTACCATTATACTTCCTACAAAACAGTGGTAAGATTTTGTGTGACCCAGCTGCCTTCCTCTTCTGCTTCTGATCTGCTTCATATTCTTTCAGGTGAAAAAAAGTTGATCTGTTTGGGGGTATTTATGTTAAATCTAGGAAAAAGTATGTAGAAAAGAACTAATGTCTCAGACCATGTAAATATTTAGATTTCAGTTGTCTATACATATAAGACATCAAGAAAAGGAAATACTGCTTAAGTAAAAAATGAAATTAATGAAGTCTCCCATGACTGGTCTTTCTGTGCTTTGTTTGCTTTTAATTCCTCCCTGATCTCTTCATTTTCTTAGCTTTATGTATGTACTTATAAAGCTTAGGGTATAGTGGCTCCAGTATATTGTGATGTTTTGGTTTGATTCTAATTTCCTTTCTTCTGTTATTGAGTTTTTGTTTGCTTTGTAAAAGCTAGCACTAGTAGAAATGCTAAACTTTTAAATGTTCAGCAGCTTAAAACACCACTTACAACAACATTTAAAATTAAATTAATATATTTATAATTTTGGTGTCCAAATGAACTTTAACAAATAATGAATAATTTATTCAGAAATAATTGTTTCAACATGAAGGTGAATTTAGAACTTTAAAACAATTTAAAATGTTTCAGGAAACTAGCAATTTTGTGTTTTGCTATGGCTAAAGAATATTTTAATTTCAGCAAAGAATATTTCCCATTTTTTTTTATTAAGTAATTTCTTGGGTGCTCATTAGTGCTAAGAATATTCTAGGTGAGGAAGACAAAGTTCCTGTCCTGTTATTTTAATTTGGTTGATAAATGCCTGAAAGAAAAATAAAGCCAACCCCTGTATGTAAAGTGGATATGAAAGGGAGTGGGTGTTATTTTAAATGGGTGAGCTTTTGGAAGGCCTCTCTGAGGAAGTGAAATTAGCAGGATGCTTCCAAAGAAACCAAACACTAGACACACGTGCCCATTTTGCTTCTTACACTAGGGAACTGGTTTTACCAGCATTTATTTTATAGTGTTAGTTTAGTCAGCTTTTGTCACCGTGACCAAAATACCTGACAAGAACAACCTTAGAAGAGGAAAAGTTTATTTTGATTTCAGAGGTTTTATCCATAGTCTGCTGCCTCCATTGTTCTGGGCCCAAGTTGAGGCAGACTGTCATGGTGGAAGGGTGTGGTGGTGGCAAGCTGCTGTATTCTTGGCAGCCAGGAAGAAGAGGAGAAAGTAAGATGTCAGAGACAAAAGATAACATTCAAAGGCATGTCCCCAGTGACCTACTTCCTCCAGCCACACCCTACTTGTCTATAGTTACCATCCAGTATAGATATCCTTTTGGTGGATTAATCCACTGTTAGTTGTAGCCCTCATAATCTAATCATTTCCCTTTTGCACATTCTTGCATTATCTTACATATGAACATTTGGGGAAACCTCATATCCGAATCACAACAGTGTTATTATCCAATGTTTCAAATCAATAGATATTGAATCTTTATTACCCAGTTTTATCTTTTTTCCTCAGAACAATTATAAACACTCTGCGATTGAGATAACAACTTCCTAAACTCCTAGCCTCCATGTTTGTTTTCACCTGTTGTTACTCTGTATATCTCTGTCACTCTTTATTCCTTTAGAGTGGGTGAGAAATATATACAAAATAAGAACATGTCTATGTGTATTAATATAACATGTATATGTGTATCACTATCATTACATCTCATTAAAATGTCAATGACTGTTTTTATAGAATTGAAATAGAAGAAAATTGTATGGCTTTAAATAAAATACCACGGGAAGAAATTGTATAACTACTGCTATTGGTGAACGTTGAAGAAAATATCTTCCCTGTAAAAAGGGGAAAAGTAGGCACTTGAGACAGTGCCTTCAAAACTCTAGCCCAGTGTCAGTTGCTGAGGATGATAGTCTTGTTCGAACAGAATAGGAAGAGGTGCCAGAAATCTGTAAACTGGTAGGAGGGGGAACTTACCAGGTGTCTGAAAAGTTGAACACATAGGCAAATCAGTATCACTTTCATACAGTAAGATCAATCCTTTTTTTTTTTTTTTTTTTTTTTTATTCAACTTCCAGACACCATTTTAGGGAAAACACTTCTAAATTTGAACCATTAAGTCTAATTGTGAACCTGAGAAATATGAATAGTAAACTTCTTATTTTTTCTGTTTCCAGGCTTTCTGAACATGCTGGGTGTTTGTTGTACTCTTTAGATTCACAATGCGACCCATTGTTTAATGTGTATCTCTAGAAAAGTTGCTAAACATTTTGAACAGTTGGTTGTTAAAACCCCTGACAGGAGGGAGCTTTCTGATAATGTTTGAGGAACTGAAAGGATTTCCTAAGAATATGACAGCCTCTCCCTGCTATGATTTGAATATGGTTTGTCACTTCCAAAACCCATGTTGAAATTTATTTCCCATGATGAGATGCAGTATTAAAAAGTGGAACCTTTAAGAGATGATTAGAGCTCTGCCCTTGTGAATGGGTTAATCCATTTCTGCAGTTAATGGATTAATGGACTAATGGGTTACTCAAAAATTCAATTGCTGAAGGACTGAGTCTCTAGAAGTAGATATTAAAAGTTCATTTTAGAAAGAACTAATGTTATTTTTGTTCCTTCTTTTATGCATGTTCTGAGGCACAGCGGAAACGTGTGCTGTCTTGCTGTCTCAGGCTCTATTAATATGAGTTTTTTTTTCATAATTGTCTCAAAGGGGTAATAGGAAGATGGTGGAATGAGATGGACATCATTATCCTAAGTACAAGTATGAAGACATGAATGGTGTGAATATATTTTGTATACAACTAGATATGTGAAAAATTGTGCGCTATATGTGTAATATGAATTGTAATGTATTCTGCTATCATATATAACAAATTAGAATAAAAAATTAAGATTAAAAAGGGTAATAGGAACTGGTTGCATGGTGCATGCTTCCAATCCCAGAGACTGGGAAGGCTAAGGCAGGAGGATGACAAGTTTGAGGCTAGCCTGGACAATTTAGTTTCAAAATAAGGGGAAGGGGTTGCTGGGGATGTAGCTCAGTGATAGAGCATCCCGGGGTTTAATCCTCAGAAATGCAAAATAAATAAATAAAAATCCAAGGGGTGTGATAGGCCCAACATAGCTAATGATGTTCAGTTTGGGGTGCCACATTTTTGTTGTTATTATTAAATATTTTTTAGTTGTTGATGGACCTTTATTTTATTTACTTATTTACTTTATTTTATTTACTTATTGCTGAGAATCTAACCCATTGCCTCGCATGTGCTAGGCAAGTACTCTACCACTGCTGAGCTGCAACTCCAGCCTCTGGAGTGCCACATTTTAAAAAGATTAGAAGTCATATGTGTTACAAATGATATGGTCAGGAAAGGCCTTGCTGAGAATGTAAACGTCTTAGTGTATTTGGGATACTGTAAGAAAATGCCATCAGCTGTGTGTTTTATGAACAACAGAAATGCATTTCTCACAGTTCTGGATGTTGGAAAGTATAACTTCAAGGTACTAACAGATTCAGTGTCTTGTGAGGGACACCAATTCCTGGTTTTGAAGGATAGAATCTTCTTGCTGTGTCCTGACATGGGTGAAGGAGCAAAGCAATTCTTGGGCCTTTTTTATAATGGGACTAATTCCATTCATAAGCATTCCACCCTCGTGAACTACTCATCTTGCAGGGATCCCTCTTCCTAAGACTATCACATTTGAGACTATAGCAATGAAGGAGCAGATTGCTAATATCAGGAGGAAGAGCATCTTTAGCCCACAACCAGCACTGGCTTCATGAATGAAGGTTCCAAACATGAGAAATCTCTAGGGAGTTTTGAATTAAAGAGACAAGACTCTAATTACCTTTAAACCAGCTCCAGGACAGCTCCTCCTAGCTCCAGCCTCCAGCCACCTATTGTGGTATCGAGGTTTACTGAAGAGGAGAGAGAGAGGAGAGAGAGAGAGAGAGAGAGAAAACACGCCAGGGAGTGGACTTTTATTGGGGAACGAAAAATTCTGGGGAAAATCTCATCCAATGAAGATTAAGGGGGGCAGCGTCCCAAGGTTATGGGCGACAATTGGGTCTTCGGGGTAGTGGCCAGATACGCCTCCACACGGATAAGCCCTTGGACCTGAGCAGGGTGGGGAAAGCTCTGGATACAAGATGTGCCTAAAGCGCCTCTGGCCCAGCCAGGGAGGAAACCAAATCTCGTGGGAGGATAGTCTCCCACAAGCATCTGTGTAGGGCAATAGCAGGTTCAGATGTCCCCAGGCAGCCGGAGCAGACCAGGCGTGTCTGTAAAACAGCAAAAGATCAGATGTGATGGAATGGAAAGAGAAGGAGAGAGAGTAAGGAGATGTGGTCAGAAGTCATAGAACGCCAGATTATATAGAGTTTTTAAGGTTTACAGACTTTGGTTTTTATTCTGAATAAGATGAGGAGCCACTGGAGAGATTTTGAGTAGAAGAAAGACTTGATCTAATGTATAATTCAGTGAGATCACTCAGGTTGGGAGTGGTATGAGGTGGGGAAACCAAAGTCGAGTGATTATGGCAATAATCTGTGGTGGTTTGGAATAGGATGGCATTAGTGGAATTGGTAAGAATTAGTTAGATCATGAACATTTTGAAGGTAGAACCAACAGAGTATGTTGAATTGAATGTGGGATGAAAGAAAATAGAATCAAGAATGGCTAGGATTTTTTGCTGTAAGCATCTGGAAGTATGGAGTTGCCATTAACTGAGAAGAGAGAACTGGATGGAATAGTTTTGTGGTGAATGTCAGAAAGGACATCTTTAGAGGCCCATTAGACATCCAAGTGATTAATATATCCCCTTATGTAAGTCCTTTTGAATGGGAAGCCAAATCAGTTTTCTTAGAAATGAAGGTAAACTCAGGAGATAAGAGTTGAAGGATCATGACTGAGGTGATAGTCTGAGGCATTTACCTTCAGCTTCTGAGGGCCCTGAAATAACCCCTCTTCCTGAATGGGGCTGTAAAAACTAGATGCCAGTTCTGTCATCAGACTCCGTTTTCTAGACTTATTTTAATCATTCCATTTTGTACACATTGTTTCTTCAAAATGGGTGGAACAGGCTGTTGTTTTGTTTCTTTATGAGGTTATACTCTCTTGAAGCTTCTCGGTCATCTCAACTTAGCATGAAACTTCTTATCAACTCAAACCATTTTTCAATCATTACTTTGAGTGAGTTACTTATTTAGATGGTTGATTACCAAAAGAGTTGCTTTTTTCCCTCCTTCCTTTACTTTTGGAGGGTAACCTTCTCTTTATTTTAAGTCTTCTAGCAATAAATGCTGCTTGAATGAAAGTTAGTGGAATACTTTAGGTCTCTCCTAAGTATTCATCTTTGAAGTATGTTGTGCTTTGGGTATGAGGTGTCCCCTGAAAAGGTAATGTTTTAGACAGTGTTCAGAGTTGGTATGATCATGAAAGCTATAACCTCATCAGTGGATTAATCCGTTTAATGGATTAATAATACCAGAAGGCAGAAGAACCAACATGTTAACAATTGGTGCCATTCATAGTGGAGTAGGTTATTTCTTGAGGTAGGAGGTCTGTGGGAAACATTCAAGAAGACAGTTGATGACTATCTGGTATGTTGAAGTGATTTCTGAATTACATGAGGTATTTCTGAAGTACCCTTCAAAATTTAAGATTGGTTTGATAATGTCATCTTTCTCTTTTTTACTGAGCCACTGGTGCTATTAGGAATTATAGCATAGCTAGAGTAATATAATTCCCCAAATGCCCTCTTGACTTTTTCATTAGCTGTAATATTCGTGAAACAGTTGGCTGGAGTGGGGGCAGTCCTATAATATCTTATAATGGTATTAAAGTTATTAAGTGATCATTGAATGACCCTGTCTTCCTTAGCTTTAGGCTCTGCCTGATTAAACCTGTTAGTGGTTATTGAGGTTTGTGTGTAGGGGAGCATTTTCTGAGGGTTGAAGAAATTTTTGCCTTACAAGATTTTATCCTAAATAAGTCAAGTGTTGAAATGCATTGGAAAATAGGCTGGCTTTATCTTGGTTTATAAACAGTAATTGCATTTTATAAACTGCTTTATTTGTGTCTATGTATATATGTGCATCTTTGTATATGTTCCACATTCTTCACCACAGGAGAAATAACAATAATTAGTATTCTTAGTGTTTATCAAAATAAAAACATAATCACTTATGTTGCCATCCAATTAAACACTAAATATTTCCAAGAATTAAGTACATTGCAGACCTTTTAAAGTATATATTTTATTTTTGTTAATATTGAAAATTAATTATGATACCATTTATATTTTATAGGATCTAAGCCTTTTCCACGTTATGGTTATAAACCCTCCCCTCCAAATGGATGTGGCTCTCCACTGTTTGGTGTTCATGTAAGTATTATTTTTTATTTGGTAAGTATTGTGACTGGTGGTTTTTGTTTTAATAATTTTGACAATATAAGACTTTGTGTATTCCTAGGCTTACAAATAATTTTGCTTGTTGTAGTAGTGATTAGGTTTATTACACTCCTTTTTGGCAAAACATTTAACTCTTAGAAAAAACAAAATGGTGTAAAATTGATCTTGTTTACATTAATATCATTTAAATTAAATTATATCATTTAAATTATTTTAAAACACAATTTTAAAGTTTAAAATAAAAGAGTAATACTAGGGGGGAAAATATAAATAAAACATGTGTTCTATATAAAAACAAGGCTCAGTGGCAGTTGTTGGGGACACTGGACCTGAGCCCATAATTATGGGAAAAAAATGTTTATGAGAATGATTCCTACACAAAAAAGTTTTGTGAATTATTTAAAATAAATAAGAGTTGTACATTCAAAGTAGTGATGTTCGTGGGGAATGGAGAAAGCTTAGGAAACAACCAATATTTGAGTTCTAGATATTTAAAATTTTCTGTGAAATTTCACAAAAAGCACATTTTATTTGTTAGGAGGTTAAAAAAAAAAAACTCTTTGAAAATACTAAAAATCAAACTTACCTAGCTTCTGTAGAAATCCCTTAATGAATTTGACCTTATCTTTTAAAGTTATGTTTTATGTTTTGGACAGTAGGAAGTTGTGTTTGTTGCTGGTGGGAAATTGAGTATTCTAACATTGAAAAATAGAGAGCAGTGAGGCATGCCAGAGACACCGTCCCATAGGTGGGTCTGGGTAAAAAGGTTTGTTACATGGGACACACCTGAAGGTAGAAATGGGTTTGTGAGTTTTCTACATAGTAGTCATTGTCATTTACTTCTATTAAGTCTATTTGAATGTAGTACTTTAGGAGAGGATGTTTGCATTTCATTAACAATAATCCATCTAAATGCCTCTTTCAGCTTAACATTGGCATCCCTTCCCTTACAAAGTGCTGCAACCAACACGACAGGTGTTATGAGACCTGTGGCAAGAGCAAGAATGACTGTGACGAGGAATTCCAGTATTGCCTCTCCAAGATCTGCCGAGATGTGCAAAAAACACTAGGATTAACTCAGCATGTTCAGGGTAAGAATGTTCTGGTGGTTTGGGGATGAAAAAAAGTAAAAAGTGCTAGGAAAACTTGGAGGAAGGTGTCTGAGGCAGAAAGAGAGAATTATTCATCCTTGTGCCCTGGAATATGACTCTAATCAAAATTGAAACCCCGAAGCCAGTTGTCTTAATCCACTGGGGCTACTAACAAACTTCAATAGACCCAGTAGTGTATAGACAATAGAGATTCGTTTCTCATTATTCTGGAGGCTGAGAAGTACACGATCAAGGCACTGACAGATTCATTGTCCTGTGAGGGCCCACTCCCTGGTTCCTAGAGGACACCTTCTAGCTGTGTCATCACATGGTGGAAGGGATTAGGCAGTTCTCTGGGGCCTCTTTTTTAAGGGGAGTTATGCCATTTTGGGGGATCCACTCTTTTGACCTATTCATCTCCCACAGGCCTCACCACCTAATTCAACATCTTGGAGATTAGGATTTCAACACAAAAATTTTTAGAGGAACAGTACTAGTGAATTTGAGAGCATTAGGACACTGATTTTGGAGAAGGATATTCTAGAAGATTTGAGTCTTACCTTCTTCTTTTGTATCCATGTTGGGAGGGTCCCCCAGACCACCCCTAGGTTCAGTGATATACTAGGAGGACTCACAGGTCTCCTCGCATAGTCATGGTCACCACTGTGATTTATTGTGGTGAGGGATGCAATGCAAATCAGCAAAGGGAAAAGGAGCTTTGGTATCCTCATTTATGAAATAAAGAGAATGGTAATACACACCTATCTCAGAGTTGTCATAGGGGAAACCTGAAATATTTATGAAATGTAAATCAGTGTTAAAGTAGTAGTTGTAGTAGTAGGTATAAGATTTCTCTACTGTCAAGCTGAAGAATGTGCTGTTCATTGAAATCAGAAGAGAAAGGCAATGAGAGGGGCAGGAAAGGAAATTAATATTTTTAATCATTTACCTTAAGATACTATGCTGGATAGTATCTTCATGTTTCCATTTGATACAAAAATCCAAAGAGAGAGGTGGTGTTATCCCTATTTTTCAAGGAAGAAAACTGAAGTTCAGAAAGTTAGACTTTAGACTGTCTGACTCTGAGACTTGTCCCATAAATAGTCATAGCTTTTATCCCTAAATCCTAATAACTGTACAGGATGAAATCTCTGTACCTGGTGAAGCTTGAATTTGCCACCTCTGTCCCCTTGCATGCTTTTGGCTAAGGTAAACTAGTGCACAGCTGAAGTGTAGAAGATGGATGCATTTCCTGTTCTCTAAGGAGGACATAGGAATGTGGCTAAATGATGAAACCAATTTTCTTTCAATCTCCTTAATAGTCTAGCCTTTGTATTTCCTTGGTTGGTTGTGCTCCTTAATGGTACAATCTTTTGGAGAACTTTAAAAATAAAGTGTTATGATTTTAATAAAAAGATTCTTCCTTATCATGAATATTTGAAACTGAAAGTCTTTGAACACCAAAGCCATCTTGTGCCACACCTCTGTAAATGTTGAAATAATCTCATTTGGATGTTTCAATTTTCTTAAATAAGGAAAGTAATGTACTGGGGATTGATTCTAGGAGCATTCTATCACTGAGCTATTCTCCCATCCCTTTTAGTTTTTTGTATTTTGAGACAGGGTCTTGCTAAGTTGCCCAGGCTGGCCATTATTTTTGTGATCTTTCTGCCTCAGCCTCCCAAATTGCTGGGATTATAGGAATGTGCCACAACATCTTGCTTCCATTACCTTTTTTATAGTTTCCTTTTTTTTTTCTTAACTTTAAAGAAATTTAAAAATCCTACCAAGGAAGAAACACTTTTGATTCCTGTGTCTACTGACCACTAAGCCAAATTTGGTATTAGTAAAGAAAGAGACTGGGTTCCATTTACTTTAAACATCTTTTGGTTTATTTTGTTGTGATTGTGGTATGGGGGATTGAATCCAGGAGTGCTCTACCACTGAGATACACCCCGGGCCCTTTTTATTTTTAATTTTGAGACAGAGTTTTGCTAAGTTGTCCAGGCTGTCCTCAAACTCATAATCCTCCTGTCTCGGCTTCCTGAGGCTGGGATTACAGGTGTACTTTAAGTGTGTTAAGTGACGTGTGATCGTTTTTAAGAATCCACTGGCCATAATGACATATTTTGAAGTTTCTGTTTAAACTTTGTTTCTTCTGCACCTAATACATCTTTCCAGGGCTAGGGGAAAGATGTATTATAGTTCAGTGGTAGAGTGTATGCTTAGCATGGGTGAGGCCCTGAGTTTGATTCCCAACACTAAAATTTAAAAAAAAAAAATCTTTTCCTTGAAATGCAAATTTAGGAGTTATCAGAAATCTCTATTAGTGATAGATTAAAAAAAAAGTTAACCTTGATTAACTGATCAGTGTTTTAGTAAAGTTCATTACCTGTCTAGTACAAAAAATTGGTTTGAACAGTTAAATGCTCCCAAAAAAAGAAGAAGAAGAAAGAAAAAGACATGGACAAAAGACTAAAACTGAAAGTCTGCAGATATGTCCTACCAGTGTGAGACGGTTGAGGTGACTTTCACCTAAGTTGTTTGGATGCGCACTAGGAATATGAGTGGCTCGTGTTTAACAACTAACAGTTGAAAAAAATGATGCTTTGCAATTGCCCAACAGTAATCACATTTTCTTCTTTTTCAGCATGTGAAACAACAGTGGAGCTCTTGTTTGACAGTGTAATTCATCTAGGCTGTAAACCGTATCTGGACAGCCAGCGAGCTGCATGTTGGTGTCGTTATGAAGAAAAAACTGATCTTTAAAGAAGATTCTGACATTTGGAGGCAAATGAGGATGAAAGAATATAACCTTTGCCAAAAAAACCCTAATGTTTTCACAGCATAAGCTGCCTTATTTTTGTGAAAGGGTCAGTTTAAGACCTTACAAGACTACATTACAACGTTAAAACCTCAAAGTAAAAAAAAAAAAAAAAAAAAAAAATGCCTTCTCAAGTGTCTTCCTGGACATTGCTGCCTTACTGGACAAATTCTTGATCAATCTCAAAACCAGGTATGTGTTAAAGGAAAACTTTTTGAAATAAGTATGTAACTCAATTTTCACAACTACATTTACAAAAAAAAAAAAAAAAGATCAAACGTAAAATGAATTATAAGGTCTATTCAACATCATCTTATTTGAAAATATGGAAAAATCTTCATTTAAAGTATCATTTGTCATGACATGTGTGTGTGTGTGTGTGTGTGTGTGTTGCTGGGGATTGAACCCAGGGCTTTGTACATATGAGGCAAGTACTCTACCAACTGAACTATATCCCCAGCCCTATCATGACATTTTAAATACACATTTATTCCTGGAAGGAACTGACATTATTCTTTCTCTATTTTAATTACTGAAGCCCCCTAAGCCTATAAATGAGTCACGCAGTTATAAGGACAACATTTCCTTGTCTATTTCTCTTATAAAATTGGAACTATCATCTGGTAAGCTCTTAGGGAGCAAACCCAGAATAACTAAGTATTCTGTGATGCCTAGAAGGTAATGTGAGCAATGTTCAGAAGCACAGCCATTCCCATTTAACCAACCACCCTTACAACAAATGTCATCATTTACTATAAACTCTGCCCAAATGGAGAAAAGATGGATTTAATGAAACAAATGAAAAGTTGTTTAGCATAACACACCAAAGCACTATATGCTGTTGTTTCAATGTTTATTACTTAGTACTCATTTCTCCTCATAGTAGACTCTTCCATATTTTTAAAGACGATAACTTTTCCAAATTGTGGTCTTAATAAAAAAAGTTATTCTCCCTATTGTTTTTTTTCTTTAATTCTTTAATTGTGGAGTCAAAAGGGGTAGAAAAGGCAAGATGCAAAGAACTGTCTTTTATAGATCTCTTATTTACACTGCAAATTATTAACAGACCTTTAAGAGCAAATCTCAGAAAACTTCGGCTGCTTCTGGCAATGTCTAGGAATGGTTTTTGTTGTTTTTATTTTGAGATTGGGTCTCTCTGAGTTGCTGAGACTCATCTGAAACCTGTGGTCCTCCTGCCTCAGGCTCCTAAGTTGCTGGGACTAAGGTGTGGGCCACCATATCCAGCTATGTCTGTTGAAAACTTTTCAACTCCATGGACTGTTCAGCTCTGTTCCCATACTGGTCTTTGCTTACCACTGACTGTTGACTTTCTCTCGCCCAGGACCCCAAGCCATGTATAAATTGCTTAGAAAGAAAAGGGCAGCACAGAGATGTTCCCTTGTAAGTCATTATAGACATAACTGGGCAGAAGGAAAGTTATGTTTATGTTCTGGAGAAAGGGCCACATTCCTAACTTTGAACATGTGTTATTGCTGGAATCTAATGTCTTCCCAATGTCTTGAGATGGTGGCAGCCATTCTGCTAAAAGATGTATACCCTGTTAGACAAGTCAGGTATATACCTTGTGGCTAAATGAGCAAACTGGGCTTCAATTTGAGTGCCTAGAAATCTTGATTGATACTTTATTTGAAAGTTTTGTAGAAGGTACAGTTTTGCCATCCATTATCACTTTTTAACTTTTTTTCCCCTGGTGGTATGGGGATTGAACCCAGGCTTCACACATGCTAGGCAAGTGCAAGGACCAGCAAAGCCTATAAGCTGTTTAGTTCATGGTCATAAAATATACAAAAAATAATAGAAACAGTTTTTGTATTTTTTAAAAATAAATTTATCTTGGAATAACTTTAGACTTAAAGAAAAGTTGCAAAGATAATTTAGAGAGTTTCTCTATACCCTTCCCTCAGTTCTGCCTGTTATTAACATTTTCTATAACCAAACATTTGTCAGGACTAAGAAACCAACATTGGTAATTACTGTTAACTATACTTTATTCTTCAGATTTTCCCATTAATGTAATTTTTCTTTTACAGGTCCAATCTAGGATACCACATTGCATTAGGCATGAGTCATGATGCCAAATTAGCCTCTGGTCTGTGGTGGTTCCTCAGTCTTTTCTTGTTTTGCATAACCCTGACAGTTTTAAGGAATACTGGTCAAGTGTTTGTGGAGTGTCCCTTCCTCTGGGTTTATATGATGTTTTCCTCATGATTAGACTGGGGTTATGGATTTTTAGGAAGAATACCACAGAGATAAAGGGTCCTTCATAATGCATCCTATCAGGAGTTACATGCTACCAACTTATTGTATTAACTTTGGACATTCAGCTAAGGTCTTAGGTAAGAAGTTCGGTTTCTCCAATATAAGTTACTATTTTCCTCTTTTGATATTTTGTTTTTTGGGAGCCAGTCACCAAGTCCAGTCCTGTGGGCAAGTCCAGTAGCCGGTGGGCAGGGTTATGTTCAACCTCCTAGAAGGGGGACCATCTGAATGTAGTACTTGGAATTCTGTAGGAAGGATTTGTCTCCCCTCCACCTCAATTTGATTACTTATTCAATATGTGTATCAGTAAAGACTCATGTATTTATTTTATACTTTGGGTGATATTTTTTTGCTCATTGTTCCATCTTGATTATTGGAAATTGTGTTAGGTTGGCTGCTTTGTCCCTTTGACAAATCCTCTTGATTTTTTAGCACTGCCTTATTCTCTGGCACTACAAGATGCCCTGAGCTCATCTTTTATATTCCTTGCCTCAGCCCTAGAATCAGCCCTTCTCTAAGGAACCTACTTCCTTTTGTTAGTACTTCAAAACCAAGATCTGGGCCTACGATCCAACATGCTGACTACACCTGATCTTGCTAGCTAAGCAGAATTAGATGTGGTTAGTATTGGATGAAGAAACCAAAATCTGGACACTGGAAGTGCTTCTTACTATTGGGACATCACTACCTCTTGACATCCCAGTAGACAAAGCTAGAAAAATGTATGTATATTAATCCATGTATATGTACGTGTCTATAATTATTTGTGTGTGTGTATTAAGCTCAACACAAGTTTGTACTATATTCAACTTGAATCTAGGGCATATATTTAGATTTCAGTGTTGCTATTTTTCCTGTTCACTGACTAAATTCATAAAAAGATAGGCAAAAAAAAAAAAAAATCAAAAGCCCAACCAAATTTTAGCAGCTCTTTGCAAAAAATATAATATTGATATGTTTAAGTAATGAAATATATTGCCTCCAAATAATGTCTGTGACTTTAAAATATTTATATACACTTTTCCCAGGGACAAATAAAACATTAATTCCATAGATTGAAAAAACGGAGCATAGAGAAGCTGCAGTGAAGACAGAATTAAGATAAATAAGAGCAAGAGCAAATTAAACACATGTAAATGGCTTTTTTTTTTTTTTGGTGGTGGTGGGTCCTGGGGATTGAACCCAGGGGCGCTTAACCACTAAGCCACATTCCCAGCCTTTTTAAAAAGTATTTTATTTAGATGGACTGGGGTTGTGGCTCAGTGGTAAAGTGCTCGCCTAGCACATGTGAGGCTCTGGGTTCAATCCTTGGCATCACATAAAAATAACATAAAGGTCATTGTGTACACCTACAACTATAATAAGTTTCTTATGAGTTGCTTAGAGACTGGCTTTGAATTTGGGATCCTCCTGTCTCAGCCTCCCAAGATGCTGGGATTACGGGAGTGTGCCACTGTACCAGCCATCAGGCATCCTTTAAAGAGGGATTTGTCTAGACTAGTTATACTAATAAAAATTATTTGTTTTGGGGCTGGGGTTGTGACCCAAGTGGTAGAGTGCTTGCCTTGCACACATGAGGCACTGGGTTCAATCCTCGGCACCACATAAAAATAAATGAATAGTTAAAACAAAGGTATTGTGTCCATGTTAAAAAAAATATTTGTTTTATTAACTTATCACTAATTCTCCCTCCTAAATTGAAAATATGGCTGTTTCTGCCAGTATTTATTGAAATAAGAGATTATCGGGAGGTTTGATGCAAAATGATAGTTTTATCCTGGTACAAAACAGATAATGTCCTAACAGTGAAGATGATGGAATCTTTGTATAAAAACAATTATTTAGTGAACTGACTTCAGTAACTTTTTTTTTTTTTTTGATACCAGAAATTGAATTCAGGGGCGCCTAACCACCGAGCTCTATCCCCAGCCCTTTTAAAAATATTTAATTTAGAGACAGGGTCTCGCTAAGTTGCTTAGGGCCTAAGTTGCCAAGGCTGGCTTTAAACTCATGATCCTCCTGCCTCAGCCTCCCAGCCCATTGGGATTACAGTCATACACAATCTCCTGTCTTCACTTCAGTAATTTTTTGAGATTAGAATGAAAATCCTTCCATATATACTATGATGCATTGTTAAGAGTTCACAGAAGGGCTGGGGATGTGGCTCAAGCGGTAGCACGCTCGCCTGGCATGCGTGCGGCCCGGGTTCGATCCTCAGCACCACATACAAACAAAGATGTTGTGTCTGCCAAAAACTAAAAATAAAAATATTAAAAAGAAAAATGCTCTCTCTCTCTCTCTTTCAAAAAAAAAAAAAAAAAAGAGTTCACAGAAATCACCCACAATGTATTCATTCAAGTCTTGTAAAACAACTGGGGCTATAATTGAAGAAACACTTGTAGTTTTCTGTTTTTCCTCACTATTTAATCCTACAAACCCATTATGGAAGAGCAAGAATGAGTTAGTGCAACAAGTATATTTTTTAAAAGTTGATAGTAACATTAACAGCATTAATAAACTAAAAACCAGTAGTGTTATCTTTGTATGTTTGCCATAGTCATATTATACTTCTTGCTTCAGACTTTTTTTTCCCCAGACTAGGGATTGAACTCAGGCTTCAAAATGCTTGGCAAGCACTCTACCACTGAGCTAAACTGCCAGTCATTCAAATTTACTTATTTAATATCCATAATATCCTTCAAAATCTCCTTGCAGACAACTTTACAAACATTTCTTTGTTGCTTTCACATTTTCTTAAGTTTAGGAATCAGAATCAGAATTTTTTATGATTTATATAAGAAAAAAATTAGAATGTTAGTGAACACTAAAAACACCAAAATTTAAATTTTAGAATTATCTCAATTTTACTCTGTATATTCCCTTCCTAGGATGAGTGACAAGCTCTAAGACCTTCAGTTTTGCTAAATTCATTAAATAATAATAAATAATAAATAAATTCAATAAAATTTGGATATAGGAAAAATCAAGTTAGCATTTAGCTTTTGGTTCTTAATCTGAATTATTTTAATAAAATGGATTTGCTTTTTTTGGGGGGGGTTCTTTTTTTAGTTTCTTTTTGTTTTCTTCTTTGAGAAGGATGAGAGAGCTTGGTAAGATTCTAGGCTAGTTGATTCTCAAACATGAGTATATCAGAATAACTGAAGGGCTTGCTAAAAAACATTGCTGGCCCTCATCCCCAGTTTCTGATGCTATAGGTCTAAGGTGGACCCAGGAATGTGCATTTCTGACAAGTTCCCAGGTGATGTTAATACTGCTGGTTCAGAGGTCACAGTTTGAGAAGTGGTCTAAGTAATTTTCAGTAGCTAAAAGTAACTAGCATACTGAAAACTTACTGTTGGCTAGGTGTTTTAGGAGTTTGACATTTACCTTCTCAAAAACTCTTTGGAGTAGACTGGGTCTCCATTTTGCAGAGAAGAATTTGAAGCTGTGAGAGGTTAAATGTCTCAGTTAATATCATGGAACCAGGATTAGAACCCAGTGCAGCTTGCTTTCTCATCCTAGGCACTTAACCAATTACTGTGGTTGGCTCTTGCTTTAAAAATCTAAAATCATATATTTATAATTCTGAAATAAGTACTGCTATAGTTTGGATCTTGAGTGTGCCCCAAAGGCCCCTATATTGAAGGCTTGGTCCCCAGTCCATGTCATTACTGGTGTGTAATGAAGAAACCAACCAACCAAACAAACAAACAAACAAACAAAAACCAACCAACCTTCTTTCAGTGAGTATAAGGATATGGTGATACAACAATAACCTCTATTCATGAGCTTTCTACATGGTAAATACTGTTCTGAGTATTTTGCAGCCATTGAATCCAAACATCACAACCACTGTAGGAGGGAAATACTGATATCCATGTCTTCATTGTATTAGGACAATAACTTATGGAACCTAAGTTTCTTTACTACACACTCCAAATGAGCCCAATGAATCAAGGAAAAGTTGTTGGGACAAGGAAAAAAATTATTCAGTAAGCCAGTAACAAAATGAAGTAACATCCTGAAAGACCATCTTGACACAAGTTTTAAACTCCTTTTACCTTTAGGAGGAAATGATTTGAAGAAACGTGGTAGCTAGTAATCTGTTGATTTGCATCAGTCTTGAAATGGGAGGAGATAACTTAGAGCAATTTGGGGTGAAACAACCTGGTGCTGCTAGTTCAAATGATTAATGAGGGCTTCCTACTCAGGGAGACATTGGCTTTTCCAGCAAAGAACAACTCAAACACCACTACATGACCTCTGAAATAGTTTATGTACACAATGAAATGAACAGGAAATGACTTGGTTTGAATAAAAACCCTTCTTTATTTTTACACTCTAATGCCCAAGACTTTTGAAACAAGTATGTATAGGGCAAGTTGTCATCACATTAGATTTAATTTCTCTCCCTCAAAATAGAATAACATTTATGAGATGGATCCCTTATACTTAAGCATCCTATATGTTCATTAAATGTATAAGAAATGGTGACTTAACACATTTTAATCCCCTCCTGTCTTAAATTGGTTACTTTTTAAATGACGAGGTCCACAGGAATTGCAAAAAAATGAGGCCATCTTTTCATCTCACATGAAAGAATTGTTAGTTGAAGTAACTTACAGAATAGCTGGCCAACCACGCAAGGAGGAACTAAATTAAATTTGTTCTATTTACATGCCACAATATGCACATTGTTTCAGTAGCACTTAATTTGTGAGGACACAAAGGCAGAGTATTCTGCCTTCAAATTCTGCATAGCTCTAGCCATGAAAGCCAGACTTGAAAATGTAGTTGCCTTAGTTATACTACAGAGCTACAGTAACAAAAATGGCATGCTACTAGCATTAAAACAGACACATAGAACAAGGGTACAGAAGACAGATGAACCTACAATCCTTGAAAAAGGGACCAGAAACATACACTGAAGAAAAAACAGCCTTAACGAATGGTGCTGGGAAAATTGGTTTGTCCACATGTAGAAAAGTGAAACTAGACCCTTATCTCTCACCTTACACAAAAATCAACTCAAAATGGATCAAAGACCTAGGAATTAGACCAGAAAATTTAGAACAGAAACAATGTAGGGTCAACACTCCAGCATATAGCATAGGCAAGGACTTTCTCAATAGGACCCCTAAAGCTCAGGAAATAATGCTAAGGTTCATAAATGGGATGGCATCAATTAAGTTTTTGCACAGCAAAGGAAACAATTAGGAATGTGAAGAGAGAACCCACAGAATGGGAGAAAATTTTTACTAACTTCTGACAGAAGATTAATACAATAATATTATATATTAATTATATATTAATAAAAATATATAAAGAACTCAAGCATTACCATCAAAAGAGGGGGGGGAAAAAAAGCCCAAGCAACCCAATTAATAAGCGGGGAAATGAATTAAACAGGCATGTTTCAAAAGAAGAAATACAAACGGCCAACAAATATATGAAAAATATTCAAACATCACTAGTAATAAGGGAAATGCAAATCAAAATTATACTGAGATTTCATCTCCAATTAGAATGGCAGTCATCAAGAATAAAAAACAACAATAAATGCTGGATAGGATGTGGAGAAAAAGGAACACTTTTACTCTGTTGGTGGAATTGTGAATTAGAAGGATCACTATGGAAATCAGTATGGAGGTTCCACAAAAGACTAGGCATGAAACCACCATATGACCCAGCTATACTACTCCTTGGTATCTACCCTAAATAATTAAAGTCATCATACTGTCGTGATACATGCATACTCGTGTTTATAGCAGCACAACTCATACTAGCAAACAAAGCTTAGGCGTCCATCAATAGATGAGGGATAAAGAAAATGTGGCATATATATACACAATGGAGTTTTATTCACCCATAAAGAAAAATGAATTCTGTCATTTATAGGAAAATGGATGAAACGTGAAGACTTTATGTTAAGCGAAATAAGTCAAAT